AACTCACTATGTAGACCAGGCTGGCTTCAAACTTAGAGATCTGTCTGCCTCTGTTTCTGAAATACTGGGATCAAAGGTGTAAGCCACCACACATGGCCTTCACGCAGGTGTTTTTAATCAATTGTTCACTATAAGGCTTCTAGGTAGTGTGTTTGTGTGTGTCTCTCTGTGTAAATTCTATTACTTCACAGACGTTCAGGAGCACTCCTACCAAATAATCACCATTATAGTGCTATTCTGATTTAATGATTTGCAGAGTGCATCACGGAAAGATTATGTTTTAGAAATTTCTCCCTAGCCGCTGAAGTAGATCAAAGCTACATTTGGCTGTTTGATTTAAAATGGTTATTAAAATGGCACCAAAGCAGCCTGTTTTGTTCAACATACCTGGAAACTGCACCTCTATGTAGCACAGTTGGACTCTCATGACCACATAGTCAGCACTTCAGTACGTGGTATGTTCAATTTATTTATTTTTAAGTTTATTTTTTAGACATTTACTTGATTTTTTCCCCTGTATCTGAGTGTTTTGCCTACCTGTCTGTACATTCATCAGAAGGTTTTGGGTCCCCTGGAATGGGTGGTTGTGAGCCACTGCTTGGGTACTGGGAACTGAGCTCAGGTCCTCTGGAATAACAACAAGTACTCTTACCAACTGAGTCATCTATCCAGTCCTCTGTATATTGAACTTAATTCACATACTTAATGAGCACCTGTGATGGACTAGATTTATAGGAGAAAAATTAGAAGGATGAAAATGAGCTAATATTTAGCTAAAAAGTGATACTTTTAAAGAGGAAAGGCTGGAATTTCTGAATGGTCAATTAAAGATATTTTTGTCAATAAATAATAAATTTAATATAAACTACAGATAAAGAAAACCCATGAACCAGGTATGGTGGCTCATGCCTCTAGTCCCAGCATTTGGGAGGATGAGGCAAAGGACTTTCACAAGTTTGAGGCTGCAGAGTAAGTTCTAGGACAGCCTGGGCTATAATGTGAGATCTGGTCTCACAAAAACAAATAAAACAACAACAAAGCCAGATGTGTTGGCACATGCCTACACTTCCAGCACTCAGAAATCATGGATATTTATTTATAGTTAAGCTATACTCCACATATATATCCTGATTTGGTTAGTTTCTGGGCATGCCTGTGAGGGAATCATCTAGATTAATTGTGGTGGGAAGACCCCTCTTCTCTCCAAAACAGTGGGGCAGCACCATCCCTACATCTGGGTTCCACGTCGAATCAAAAGGTCAGAGTTATCCGAGTAAAGCTTGATGGAGTATTCTTTGCTTCCTAACTGTGGCTGCAACCTGGGCAGTCTCAAAGTCCTGCCTCTAGAATGTCTACCCTGATAAACATAACTAAAGGGTTTATAGTCTGTTTAATCCATTCTCCATATATATATAGAGCTGGAATTATACCTAACTGGAGGTACATTTTGCTTTCAATTTCCTTATTTTCAACAATATTGTTATAATGTCCTGCACACTCTTTGTGTGAACTGGTGTGATTCACTCTTTGTGTGAACTGGGAACTGGTGTGACGATTCCTTAATTTACTTTTTCTTTGATACAGGGTCTCCTGTGGCCCAGGGTCATCTCAGACTTGCAAAGCTGTTATGGATGCCCTCAAAGTACTGATCTTTCTGTTTCTACCTCCAAGTGTTGGGATATGGGTGTGCAATACCACACCTGGCTCTCGGTTTACTATTTATGTTAGTCAGCTTTCTGTTATAGTAGCGAATACCTAAGATAATCAAGTTTAAAAGGAGAAAGGTTTATGTGGTCACAGTTCTATAAATGTCAGTTTGTGGTTGGATGGCTGCAGTGTTTTTGTGTCTGTGGCAAGGTAGTGTACTATAATGGGTGCACGTGGCAGAGGAACTCCATCTGCTTTATGGCTCTGAATGAACTAGAGAAGGGAAGAGACCAGACACTCACAGTCTTCTCAGGTCAAGTCTTTAGTTACCCAAGACCTCCCACTAGTCCTGTTCTAGTTTGCTTTCTATTATGTGATAAACACAGTTGACCAAAAGCAACTTAGGGAGGAAAGAGTGTATTTCACCTTACAGCTTACCTTCATCATGAAGGGAAATCAAGGAAGGAACTCAAGGCAGGAACCTGGAGGCAGAGGCCATGAAGGAATGCTGCTCCCTGGCTTGCTCTTGATGGCTGGCTCAGCCTGCTTTCATATATCATGCAGGATCACCGGCCCAGGGTGGTCCCACCCACAGAGGCCTAGGCCCTCCCACATCAACTATTAGTAAAGAAAATGCTCCACAGATTTGCCTACATGCTAATATGATGGAAGCATTTTCTCTATTGAAATTCCCGGGCTGGAGAGATGGCTCAGGGGTTAAGAGCACTGACTGCTCTTCCAGAGGTCCTGAGTTCAATTCCCAGCAACCACATGGTGGCTCACAACCATCTGTAATGAGATCTGGTGCCCTCTTCTGGCATGTAGGCAGAACACCGTATACATAATAAATAAATCTTTTAAAAAAAAAAAAAAAAAAAAAAAAAGAAATTCCCTTTCCCAGATGACCCTGGTTTGTGACAAGTTGACCAAATAACCAGCACATGGCTCCACCTTTTAACATTTCTACCACTTCCCAATAGCATCACTAATTCTTAGAGTGAGGATTAAACACTTACCAATGTGAGGATTTGAATAAGAATGGCACCCTAGGCTCGTTGAATGCTTGGTCTGGGGAGTAAACGTTTGAAAGGATTAGATGGATTAGGAGATGAGGCTTCGTTGGAGGAAGTGTGCCATTGGGGGTGGCTTTGTGGTTTCAGAAGCCAGTGCCAGGCCCAGACTCTCTTTCTGGACCTGCTGATCAGGATGTAGCTCTCAGCTACTGCTCCAGCACCATGTTGTCCCTATGCTCCCTGCCTTTTGAACTGTACACAAGCCCCCAATTAAATGCTTCTGTAAGAGTTGCCTTGGTCATGGTGTCTCTTCACAGCAACAGAACAGTGACTGAGACACCCACCCAAGATGGGCTTTTGGGGATATTGCATATACAAGCTATTGCACCATTTTAACTTTAATATCTAAAGCACCCCACATGTGGGTTATATTCCCAGATTCCTCATGAATACTCCACTTTTCTTCATCTTCTCTCTCTCTCTCTCTCTCTCTCTCTCTCTCTCTCTCTCTCTCTCTCTCTCTCTTCTTCCTGGCTGGAATGCTCTTTGCTTGTCCTTGTCCATTGAAATCATGTGGCTAATCCAGAGCCCAGTTCAAACTTATTTTCTATAGACATTATTCTTTAGTGTTTTGAAGAACAGTTATGTTGTTGGTTTTTTTTTTTTTTTTTGCTCTTTTGGGGGGCCTGCCATCCAGCTCCCAAATAAATCACACATGGTGGCTTATTCTTAATTATGAATGCCCGGCCTTAGCTTGGCTTGGTTCCTGCCAGCTTTCACTAACTTTAAATTATCCCATCTACCTTTTGCCTCTGAACTTTTCCCATTCTCTTCTGTAAATCTTACTGTTACTCCCTGGCTTGCTGTGTAGCTGGGTGGCTGGGTAGCTGGGTGGCTGGCGCCTGGAGTCCTCCTCCTTCTCTGGCTACTTCTTTTTTTTTTCTTCCTCCTCCCAGATTTCTCCTTCTATATATTCTCTCTGCCTGCCAGCCCCGCCTATCCTTTCTCCTGTCTTGCTATTGGCTGTTTGGCTCTTTATTAGACCAGCAGGTGTTCTAGACAGGCACAGTAACACAGCTTCACAGAGTTAAACAAATGCAACATAAACAAAAGCAACACACGTTGAAAGAATATTCTACAACACAGTTAATGGTCCTGTTCCACTTGTGATGCCCCTGTATTTTAACACCACTGAACCTCACTTTGTATTTCAGGACCACGTTTACTTACTAATTTAGGATCGAGAGAAGTGCATACGTGATTGTCACAGTTACTGTGTATCCCACCACATCGGTAGGTGCCTAAGTAACTAGCATATTTTGGTTTTGTTTGGAGTGATGAATATAAATATCAGAGAAATTAAGAAGATATCTTGGCATGCCATGTTTCAGGGGGCCAGAGGAGCTGAATATAAGTGCCAGTTCCTTTTTTTTTTAAGTGTGAGAACAGCTTGTGTGGTTGAAAAGTATTGCTTTCTAGCTGCCTGTCAAAAATGTTTGTTAGCTGAAAAATTTAGACTCACAGTCTGTTTTCCAAAGTGAGCATCTTCCATGTGCCAAGTATTCAAAACAAACTGTGTTTTCACGAAGGAGAACGGAACTTAGCAATTAAACAAGGCGTCTGATTCTCGAATTGCCTTTTAAGTAGGCATGCAGTATAAGGAATCTTCTGTATTATAATTAGCACAAAAAGGACAAGGAACATAAAAATCTAGTGAGTGTCAACTGTGACTCCGTTCCAGGGATGCTAAAGACCCGGGGCGGCCGATCGATGACCCTCGCAGCCCACACGTAGGAGGAGACGCTCCCCAGAACTTCTAAGGTTAATAATACTGAGAGGAGGTGACCTAAGCCTGGTGATAGACACCGGGTAGCTAATCTGACCTCCTCAAGCGCGCGCGCGCAGGCTCTGGACGAGGCGGGCTGGGCCACGGGGGCGGAGCCTCCGCTCTCCGCGGTCCAATCACCTGCGGGCTCAGGGGGCAGGGCCCTCTGCTGGCCACGCCCCTAGCCGACGCGGGAGGGGCGCTTTTAAGAAGCGGCCGCAGGCGGCCCACTCT